AAAAAATGGATTCAATATGATAAAATGAAAAAAAAATAACTATGGCTTATATATTTATGTGTAAAATTTTATACGTGAGAATATTAAAAAATTATAAAGAATATTGAGGACATCAAGAATATAAAGAATTTATATTTCATTAAGGAGATTCGCTTATTACTTTAGAGTAAAAAATGCGACTGAAATAAATTGTCATTACAGCGATTCCGTGTCATATGCAATATTAGTGTAACGATGGATGGTGGATACTATTTACGTGCTATATTCTCTTAGTAAATTATTAGTATATAGAATATTAACAAATGTATGAGATTGTCAACGGCTTGAGAAGTCGAGTGTACATTTGGCAACATTGCACTGCGTTGCACTTCGCGATGTGACAGGCAGTGACCGGCTATAGCGAATAATAAGAAAGAAATTCAGAATCGATGTAAAGGCTGATTTTGTATTATTTTCACATCTGTTTCTTTACGCCGAGATGGATTGTAGGTTATATGAAGTTGGCTTCGTATCAGCTGTGCACTGCGGCGTTACCAAGTCTGTTACTACTAATACGATCCGTGAGGTAAAGATAAACTTTGTGACAATAAAGTTTTAAATCCATACAGTAAAGTCCGATTTTTCTTTTTTGTACACAATTATTGATATTTCATCTGTCAAATGCTAGTTTTTCAAAGTCCTAAGTTGGCTGAGTCAGTATTAAATCGGTGATTATCTTCTTCGGAACGCCCGCCTCCCGTAAAGCGATATGCTTAAAATGGTCAACTTCAGAATAATATTACAAGAAAACTATACGGTCAATATTGCTTAAATTGTGGAATTATTTGTGTACAGTATTTATCTACATCATATAAAAAAAATTAAGACTCTAAATTGATTTTCGATTAACAGGCGAACCTCCTTAGTATCGGAATTCAACATGTCTTAATAGTTATTTTAACCGTCATTTTGGATCTGCCATTAAAAATTTACCAATTATGAATGATTTGAAATTAGCGACATCAAAAACATTAACAAAGAGATTTTGAAGATATGTTTATTATCATTTTTATCCCAAGCTGGAATTTTATTTAAAGAATACTAATTTTTTGGCTGATTTTTTATTTCTAATTTATATTTAATTTAAAATTTGAAATATCTTCGAAACATAATGATACCAAATACCAATATATATAACGAGAAACATAACGATACCAAAAATATTAATATAAACCAATTATAAAGTACGCAATATAAATCAATTGTCAAATACGTAAAAACATACAAAAACTATAGCGAGAAAGATGTGTGCCTTCTACAGGCACACTATACAACAAAGAGTTAAACAGCTAATTATTAGCAACTGTAAAAACGCAAAAATCTTACATATGTTGATGCGCAGCTTTCATTGCGTCTGCAGCTCCCTTCATAGTAGTAAGAACGGCAGTGTTTGTATTTGCACTTTCCAGTGCTTCTCTTTGCATTTCAATTGTAGATAATGTGCCATCAATTTGCTGTAACTGCTTCTCATATCGCTTTTTTCTTTTCAGCGCTTGAATGGCAGCTATAATATATATACTATTTTTAATGCTTAATCAAACATATGCAATACGCGAAATGTTAACAATTTATGTGAATTGTTAACAATATGCTAACAGTTTATTAGTAGATTTGAGAATTGCAGTAGATTTTTATCAACTGCATTTATATTGAACTTGTGTTTTTCTCAGAGTCCATTGACGTAATTTCATTAACAGAAATTAAGCAAAATATCATTTCATAATTCACTATTAATAATTAAAATATTCATTCAATTACGAAATAGCAGATTTTGTTTGGTTCTGAATCTACTATCGTATTTCTGTCAGCAGATTTTACTATATTTTTGTTGACTCTATTTTTGTTGTACTATTGACAAATCTGGATATTTAAATACGACGGTCATCAATAATTATTTGGAATGTGTTTATTAAATTATATTGAAGCATCAATAGACATTTATCTATTTTTTAACATAATCCTTTATCAATTACATTTATCTTATTTTTCAACATAATCCTTTAGCTTTTCAATTTACTTGGCTCAGTATTCCATAAGTCTATTTATGTTTTCAGTAAAAAAAGTTTTTTATTAATTTAGTCACATATGTATCACTTCTTTCATAATTTAGTCAGTAGCAAATTGATGTGATATTAATATATTTTTGAATAAATCAAACAGATTATAATCACTCATTTCCTCGAATTACTATTTTTGTACTAGTCTAATCAAAGATGTCTTAAGAAGTTATTGATTTAGCACTACTGATCAAAATGTGAAAAAATGATACAGCTGAGAAATTAACAAAAAATAATTATATTAGATTGATGAAAATAAATCAAGAGAAATACACCTATTTTCGATCAAAGCGAATCTTAATACTTAAATATTTCACATAGGAAATTTATATACATATCCAATTCTGCAAATCACGTGCCAATTGGCTGCGAAACGTTGGCATTCCAAGAATGGATCTAAACACGGAGAAAACCCGCAAAACGCAAGATTGTCACATAGGTAACACCCGTGAAAGCCTCAAGAATATTATGATAGAGTACTATTACATTTGTCATACAAGATTTTAAGTTGATTGATTGGCTATAGGATAGAGACATCCGATAACTTCTCTTTCTTGCAGCTAATCAATAGGTTTCAAATGCTTTGTCTACAACAAATGTAATACTAGCCATAAAATACAAATAAAAGAGATAATTCCAATCAAACGCAGTTGAATTGAAAAGTCAAATACAATTGTAAAATTATCGAACACGAAATAAAAACTTCGTGGAAAGTCTGCGAGTTATACCTCTCTTGTTCTTCGACGCATTCTTCTTCGCTATTAATATTTCATTGTCAATTTTGCTCTCCAAGAATTCCTGTTTCTTTATCAACATATCCTCGGTTTCGCGTAACTTCTGAATTGCTTCGGCTGTTGAAGGAGCAGTCGGTTCCTTCTTCCCACCGAACACTTTGCTGAAGAAACTCATTGCGTTGCGCGTTTGTCTTTGATTTATCAAATAATTAAAAATCACTTTCTCGATCGTATGCGATGAAATCTGTGCACGTGTTTTGAGATCGAAACAATCGAAATCAAAAATGCATCTGAAATACTATGAAATCACCGTCGCCATATTCCTTCCAGGACCTCCGCACGAAAGAAAATTGCCGTAGCACCTTATGCCATCTTACGTCAGAGCCTTGCATTATTTTAACACCCAGCCAATCGTAAGGCTAGGTCCACACCTTGCTTTAAGTAGCCTTAAGCCCGATCTACAATTGCGTAAACGTAGACGTGATGGCCCGTCTACAATACATGTAGCTTGGTTTAATAGCGAATTCGATTGGACGCACTCAGTGCGCATTGGTGCACATTAAAGCCATCGTACACGAAATAACGTAAAGATATGTTTATAAATAAACATAGAGATCGATTAAATCGTGAAATACTTAATACATTTTATTGCACTATTAGGTAAAATATGTATTTCATAATTCGAAATATTTGCATTTCATTTTTATACTTAAATTAAATTAGTATACAACGGCTTTAATATGCACCAGAGCGCATTAGTTCTTCCAATCGAATTCGCCATAAGTCAGTTTAAGAAGTAAGAGTAAAGGTAAATTTTGGAGCCGCTCAAACTGGCTGTTTCAGCGACAAAAAGGATTTTGTGATCAAAATGGACGCTTTCGTGATTCGTCAATTTTGACCACGTGATCCTTTTTGTCGCTGAAACAGCCTGTTTAAGCGGCTCGTGAAAATTTACCTTTAGAAATTGACCAATCACAGTCGAATGTGAGAAGAATAATTGACTGTGATTGGTCAATTTCTTACTCTTACTTCTTAAACTAAGCTTACTTTGAATATTGTTGACAACTTCTAAGGCCGGAATCAGACTACGCATTGAAGATTCAGATTGAAGATTGAAGATTAAAATTTGACCAGTGAGGACAAAGAAATTTTAGCTCCTATTGTTTTGATTGGTCAAATTTCAATCTTTCAATCTTCAAACTCAATCTTCAATGCGTAGTCTGATTTCGGCCTAAGGGTGAAATCACACGATGCGTAAAAAGACTGCGGAATAGAGAATGCGTCATTGAAGCAACCAATCAGCACTATTCAGCGCTATTCGAAATAGCGCTGATTGGTTGCTTCAATGGCTGCGTTCAGCAGAACGATTGTTTTGCAACTGTTGGAAGTTTCCTTCGCGCTAATTGGATCATACTTTTAGATCTAGAAGAATGGTCCTATCTCAGCAGACAATCATAAAACGGTTGCAAAACTGTTGAGTCTGCTGAACGCAGCCATAGACGCATTCTCTATTCCGCAGTCTTTTTCCGCACCGTGTGATTTCACCATAATGCGCCGTCTACAATGAACAGTAGCAGTAGAGACTGTAAACATGTCGGGTGTAGGCTGGTTTTCCAGCTAAGCCATTAATGGTTAGTCGATGAACGTCAAATCGATGTTAATTCAATGTCAATTAACGTTATTTCTATAATGGTTGTGTTCCGATAGCTGTGTCGAAAATTTTCTTTTTAGTTACAAGGTTGGTAGCGCTGTAACTAACATAGTTGTGTTCCGTAAGAAATCAGCTGACACCATAGTTTGCATTTACTTTATCCTATATTCGATCAAAGCGGATCTTAAAGGCCATCACACGTACAAAAATTTTAGTCGTAATTGTAAGGTCGTAGGCAAATCGACCAATCACAGTCGAGCGTTTTTAAACGCGAGATCGTAATTTTGATTACGATTGGTCGATTTACTTGCGACCTTACGATTACGACTAAAATTTTTGTGCGTGTGATGACCTTATAATATTAAATACATAATTTTTTGTGAATTTATAACATTCTGTTTCTACATATTGCATGACCGAATATAGGATTCCTTTATTTAATTAAATTTATTCTCATCAGTCCAATATTCGCTTCATATTGCTTAAATCATATTTCAATAAATATATATAATAATAAATAATCAACTATATATTATAAAAGTAAAAATTAACCTCTTTCCTGGACAAACCGATAAAGCAAATGCAAACTACGGTGTCAGCTGATCTCTTAGGGCCATAGCACACAAAAAAACTTCAGCAATAAAACGTAAGTTTTATTAACGTAACTGTAATTTTGATTATGGTTCAAAGTAAAACTGACCGATTCAATGAAGTGAGCAAAAAAAATCAAAATTAAGGTACCTAAGCCGAATAAGACTCAACTTATTTTATTTTTTTAAATTTTATTTATGGGAATATTGAAATAAACTAAGGGAGAATCAAATCTTCATTTCATTTACTTCCAAAAGAAAAATATATTGTTTATATAGAATATGTATATGCATAAATGAACGAAAAAAAAATTTGATAAACTCTAACATTGGGCTTATTACATGCATATGAATATAATAAGATCCAAATCGAAAGTAAATTAAAAAAATTGATTCATTAATTATTTTCCATAAAGGAAGTTGAATATTATAATGAATTATAATAAATTATGAAACATTGTATATTGGTAAATTTTGCAGCGGATTGTTACAAAAATGGCTCCTACACATAAGTTTTTATTGTGTTAAGCAAATGTGTTACTACAGATTCCAATTCTTTAATTCCTTTTTATCTATTTCCTATGGCACATTTTTAAGCATATACTGCAGGCTTAAAACAAGTTTTAAAGTAATAAATTTAAAAGTGGGTTTTATTTAGTATTGGACCTTATTCAGCTCAAGTAGGTATCTTATACGACAACGAATATTGAATCAGCTATTTTTAATTTGGACTATAATTAAAATTTCCGCAGAATAGGCTTATAGCTTATTTAATTTCGAACAAATTAAGAAAAAACTTTAAAATTGGATAAGAATTAGAGCATCGGCTGAATTTTTTGCCCACTGTGCAGAGCATTAACATTTAGAAAAGTTCTGCAGTTAAGTTTTTTTGTTGAAAAAACAGATGTGATGCAAGTCGGTGTTAAATCAAGGTGTCAAAAATAGATATGGAAGATGCAAGTGCGTGATATATTTTATCATGCATATCTATTTTTGACACCGTGATTTAACACCGACTTGCACAACATCTGTTTTTTTTTTTTTCAACAAAAAACTTAACTTGCAGAGCTTTTTTTAGGGCCGTCACAATGGGCGGAAAAATTCGGCCGATAATTCTTAACCAATTTTAAAGTTTTTTAATTTGCTCGAAATTGAATGAACTATAAGAGCCCATTCTGCGTAAATTTTGATTACGGTTCAAATTAAAAATGATCGATCCAATATTCGTTATCGTATAATATTGATTTTTTTGCTCACTTCATTGGATCGGCCACTTTGAACCGTAATCAAAATTTACGCAAAATGGGCTTTTGGCTCATTTAATTTCGCGCAAATTATAAAAAAAATTTTTTAATTGATTAAGAATTAGAACGTCAGTCAAATTTTATCCACAAAGATGTATTTCCGTCTACCCGTGCCTCGTAGAACATTGGTTAAAATTGTTCACAAAATCTGAAAAAATTCTGGTGTTATTTTTTTGAGATATTGAACCACTTTTGGGGATATCTCGATTAAATTTGAAAATTGTTAAAATAATAACTACCCTGACATATAATATTTTTTATATACATTTTTTAGTAGTTTTTAAATGCTTTATAGGCGTTGTGTGCTACTTGAGATCAAATTGAAATCAAACATCGCGCGAGATTTAATCATCCAATGGCAGGCTATTGGGTAATCTTAGTTGTATGGTGCACAGAGACTGCGCTATATTGCGTGATGCTGTATGATCAATACTGTCATGCTCCGGACCAAAAAGCGGAATCGAGAAACTGCGTGTCATCTAACAACATCATGAAAACTGAAAGACACACTTGTGTGCTAAATACCGACGGTGAGTCACGATATTTTTTGATTTTTATGTCAACTATTTAAATATCTAAAAAATCGGAAAATGATGCTCTCTCTCACATCATTCGAGGTGTCAACACTCTCTCTCTCTCTCTCTCTCTCTCTCTCTCTCTCTCTCTCTCTCTCTCTCTCTCCCCAATGTTCTCTGCATAAAACATTACATAAAGAATAGTCGGTGTATTTGTGATAAATCTTATAAGATAAATCGGGATTGTGTATTAGATGTTAATTAAACGGAGATAAAAATATAAAGTACCCATAAAAATTTCTCTTACAGAATGATTTTTTTAAATAAAAATTAAGATAAATATATAAGATAAGAGTAATAGTTCAGATTACTTTAATTGCTTGATTTTCTAGAAAAATAATGAATATTATAATTCGGTTCAAAATGATTAATGTCAATAAATTAAAAGGGGCCATGAATAAAAGCAAGTTATTATTGTTAATATTTTAATGTATAACATTTCATAAACAAACGTTTAGACTCTAGGAGATTCTTTTCAATGTTAAAATACATAATAAAGTTAATTTTAAAATAAACGTGAAAATACATATTTTTAATTAGACGCTTATTAACAATAAATTAACACTTGATTGAACATCAATTGATTAGAATTTAAAACATTTAATAGTATTATTTTAACTAACAAGTCCAGCAATGAAACAGTTCGATTGACAACCCATGTACAATATACAATTACTCATCGAAATAGAGAGATTGAAAGAGTCAGATAATTTAGATACATTAACTACTAAACTATCAACATCTGTAAATTAATCATATCCATTCAATTATGCTGAGGAGGATGATATGAGTTTGAGAATGAAACTTACATTGTATGCACAGGAAGATAGAGAATACAATTGTATGTATAATGTAATATATAATAATGAAAACCTCTTAAATGAATACTTTTTCGAGCAAATTATTGTAATCAGCGTTAATTTATTATTAATAAGTGTCTAATTAAAAATATGTACTTTTACCGTCTAGTTTAAAATTGCCTTTAATATTTATTTTAAAATTGAGAAGGACCTCCTAGAAGAGGTTGAAACGTTTGTTTATGAAATGTTTTACATTAAAATATTAGCAATAATAACTTGCTCTGGCTCACGACTTCCAGAAAAAGTCTCTCTCAATTAATTAATTTATTAATAATAGAAGTAATATATATAATAAAAGAATTAATGTAGAAACAAAGAATAACAGAAGATAATTGTAGTAAAATCATGAAAAAAATTATTATATACGAAGATCGTTTGAAAAGTTTTGAGCCTCAACATGAAGATGGCATTACAGAATAGTCAAAACGATTCTGGTACTACAATCATACATGCTTTGAAAGATATATGTGAAAATTGTAGCCATTGTGGACGCTCAGTTGTTGTTTGAGTCATTTGTGCCAGTCGATGTCAGTGATTTTGTAAAAATGGAAAAAATCGAATATACAGTTCAAGACTCTGTTCGAGCGGTTTAAGCGAAACGAGTCGGATTTTTTGCGTCAATTAATAACTGTTGATAAAACTTGGATCCACTACTTCATTCCTGACGAAAGAACAGTCAAAACAGTGGATTACATCCGTAGAAGTCTATTTTGTAGAGCAAAACGCCAACTATTATTTGAATGGGTTAAAGGGATGGGAGCATCGCTGGGAAAAGTGTATCGACTTAAAAGAAGACGATGTTGAAAAATAAAACTGAATTTGACCGAAAAAATACTTGTTTCTATGTTAGACCCAAAACTTTTCAAACGACCCTCGTAGAATAGTGAGTTAGAATCTTAAAGAGAAATTGATTAAGTATTAATTTTTAATAAAAGATAGTAAATCTTTATGAATGGAGTTTAAATTCAGTGCACTGTCTGCCATAAATATTAAATAAAATCAAAAAGGTTAGAAAGGTCAATATATGAGCAAATATTAGGTCAAATTATAAAACTAGTGTTATTAAGATGACAAAACGAATAAATTAAAAACTAGTGTTTCCAAGTATAAAATAGTGGAACTTTATTTACTTATTGTTAGTCTTCATCAGCCAATTAAAGTACAAAAATGAATAAAAACAGAAGTTGGTCATGCAACTTTTGTATATAACAGTTTTCATACAACTTATAATTTACAAGTTTTTCGAACTGTGCAAGTTGTATGCCCTATATATTTACTTAATCAAGAATGCCTCGTTCTCATTGTGATATTATCGTACTTACATGAATTGCAGATCTACCCGTGGGAGAATCGATCGAGGAAATTGCCGAATCCGTAGATGAGTTACGAGAGAAGCTTGCCAATATGAAAAAGCTCATGATAGAGCGAAAGGGCACTACACTGGGAGAGATCAGTGCTCGGAAAAGGAAAGAAACTTCTAACATGATAGATGGCAATCTCTTGTCCTGGATTTTTGGATTGGCTCTTATGGGAATCCTGATCGTTAGCTCCTATGCTTTTTATAATCTGTATCACGCAGTACTAAAGAGATTCCCATCTCATCATACGGAACTATAAGGAGAGAGCGTAGAATAAAAAAGAGTGAAGCCAAAAATTTTCGCAAATTCTCAACAATATCACAAAAAAATCGGCCTTACTTAATTTCTCCATCAGATATTTCAACAAGGAAAATGCTGCTTCATGTTCTTTTTGCTTTTTGACCACTTTTTTTCAGAAAAAGAAATATCAAAGAAAACTGTTAATTCATTCGAAGGCACTAATGCGCGTTGGTGCATATTAAATCTGTTATACATTTTAATTTGAATGTAATAATGAAATACAAATATTTCGTATTATAAAATATATATGCTACTTAACAGCATAAATGTATATTGATTAGAAGTTTAAAAGTTTCAAAATTTATTTCGCGCTTAACTTGGTTTAACTTTTTTATGCTAAACATACATCTTTACGTCAATTTGTCTATGACGGCTTCAATATGTATCTCATTACCAGAGCGTCGAACCAAATTTACTATCCAAGTATCCAAGTAATGATTAAATTTTTAATGATTAAAAATAAAAGCAAGTATCTAAAGGCTCAGAGAATTAAAAATTTCAAAATGCAATAAATTGGGCAATGAGCCAAGCATGACCACACTAGTTGCACCAATACCCGAAATATGCAGTCGGTGCGTCCCAGCCGAAATCACTGAGTACAAAAACGAATTGCAAATTATGAAATATATGTTTATCAATAGTACTATAAAATGTATTGGAGATTTAACCTGTTTTATAATATATATTTTTACGGCTATATTTCTAATTGTGTATGACAGCTATATGTGCACTAGTGCATCCCAGCCGAAATCGCTATAAGGTTTTAGGTACTGTTGATAAAAAATAATAAATTAAAAGAAAGGTTCTACATTGTTTTTCAAATTTTTTAAAGTTTTGTTCAAATAATTTTAACATTAAAATTACGTTTTTTTTTAACATTCAAAAAACGTTTCTTTAACATTAAAAAAACGTTTCTTCAAACGTTAAAATAAACGTTTTTTTTTTTTAATAAAAAAAGGGGGCTTAACCCATTACTTTTAATGTTTTTAAAAATGTTTTTATAAATGTTTTTTAAATATTTTTAAAAACATTTTTAAAAATATTGTCTGCTGATTGAGGTAACGTCCCAGCAACCAAACTAATAAAAAAATTTAGCGTTAAAAATTCTTAAGATAATTAGCATTGGCAGCTGACGGGATTCCGTAACGTATACGTCGTGTAACGTTTCGACTTTCGAAAAAGGTTGATTAATGCAACGCCACGTGATCAGAGAGCGCAGGCTCATCGCTTTCAGTAACTGCCAGTAATCGTAATGAACGTTGCATGTTGTTATTTCCTTTATTTGACCTGAGTTCTTCGACTCCACAAAAAATAAAACAGTGAAATAGTAACTGCTTATCTAGTACAGAATATTCGAGACTTCATCCTTCAACGAATTTCGTTCAAACACTCACTATTACAACAATTAAGTTCGATCTATTACAAGCATTGGAATAACAATTTCAAAGCAACGTACGACTCACATTGTCATAGATTATAATACCCCCGCGTGAATTTTGGCGCATATCAAAACAATCCAGATAGCAAAATGCTAGCAGTACAGTAGTAGAGAAATAGATATCCACTTTTCGAAGCCGTTTTAAAATAGTTTAATTGCAAAAAATCGTTTTCTTACTAAGCGTATGTAATAGTGCAACTCTTGAAGAAGAAAAATCCTTGTAGTGTTTGCTGTGTGCTCAAAGATGTAGAAATTAAATTTTCCGCAGATAAGTTTTTAGTGAACAAATAGCTTTTTGCTAAAACTGATAAACATTTCAGGCTCAAACAGGAGTGGATTTTTTCGTTATAACAAAAACATTTTACGAGCATTTTAAAGCTTTGCGTTCAAATCTCAATGAACAGAGAGTGAGTAAAAAAAAGGCGTTTTTCGATGATCTTTATTTTTTTGTCAACTTAACTAATGGACAGATCTTAACGTTTTACGTTTCATTTTGTAGGTATTTCCAAATACCCACATTTTCCATAATGAACTTTTTTCCATACAATCAACATCTTTCGTTCTATGAGCGAAAAACCTACTTTTTGCAACTGTCCGAATTTTTTTGCGTATTTCCGACACGAGTCACGAGTCTCAAACATATATGTATTGCTTTTCTGATGACCTTCCGAAGTTTTTCGCGAAAAGAAATGCCAGGTTACAATTAATTTCCGTTCAAAACCCTAATTCTACTGGACTGTTTGTCATATCGCCTGAGCAAAATATCAACCCCGTGATTAGTACTCTTTAATCGCTATTAATTTAAAAATTATAACCTTGACTTTTTCATATCAGAATTTGTCTTAGAATGCTCCAAAAAATCCGTTCTTGAAAGGACACGCGATAGTTATGGGGCGGCCTGTATATTTATCTCACTTTAAGGATATCCTAAACCGATTACTGAACTTGATCGAGGTCGATAGTGCAGACTTTTTTAATTCCAAATTCGATAATAGTGACCAATAGTGACCTTTGATTAATTTCTTACATTGTATTATATATCGTTCTATCTCACTCAAACGCATACATCGTTATCTAACATATGCCAGTATCATCTATTGCAAAACCGCGTAACTACTACTACACGAAATTTCGGCTCTGTTGACATTCCTAGTCTTCGCAAAACGTATACACGGATTTTCCATTCGGTAAAAATACTTTTCTTCTAAACTTTTAATCTTAGTTCTACAAACTCGGCATCGCTCGTTCCAGTAATGTGACCTCAGCTGCACGCTTATTTTCAAGATATGGACTATAAAACTCTCGTATCAGTAAATATAGACTTGAAGTGACAGCTGTAGTGTCAAAAGTAAATGAATTTTTTAACTTTTTTTCGATTTTCTCATGAAATCCAGTGCAGCTGAGGTCCTGTTTGTGCGTACTTTAATTCTGTAATAATAATTTTGCAATCCGTAAATCCAAAATTCGGAGATTTTTCACCGAATGGAAATGATGGTAAAGTAGGGCGACTTTAGCATCCCCTTAAAATAAATGCAAAAATTTTTGGGGATTTCAAGCAACGCAAACAGATCCATTGTTGTTGAGAAACACATGGAATTATTATGGAACAGTGATAAACTCTTACTGAGGATCACTGGTGATCCTCATGGCAACCAATGTAAATTGTCTTATCTAATCAATACCAGGAGAGAATAAAATTTCTATAAAAATTAAGGTTCATTTAAAAAAATATATACACAGTATATATATATATATATGTTAATCGCGTTATAATTTCTAGGAAAAGCATTCATCTCTTTAAGTATACAATACTTGGATACATTATATAGTAACCTGGAAGAATTATCATATTATAGATCAATTTAATACATTATATTCTATAATTAATATATTGTTTTGAGAATTGCCGACATTATTACGAGAGGAACTTGAAAAGTTTCTTAAGTCGGAAAGAAAACATTTTTTCGGAAAAATTCATTTTATCTTTCGATATAATCTCCTTTTAAGTCAATACGTTTAGTCCAGCGGTGCTTCAATTTTTTCAAGCCGTCCAAAAAGTACGATTGTGCTCAAACTCTGCCAAATAGGCGTTCGTGATAGCGATGACCTCTTTTCAATAATTCTTTCTCTCTCTCCCCCCCCCTCTCTCTCTCTCTCGTACGCACAGATGTGTCCGCCATTTTCAGGGACCGGTTGCCGGACTCTGTATCATAGAGACTCTAGTCTTTTTTGAGATACGCGTGCCATCTCTGTGTAACTTAAGGAATTTTTCAAGTTCCTCTCGTACAATATATTGAATGATACATTTAGATCAAACTCTCACCAAACGACATAATTTTTTAATTATACGTAAGTTTTCTTATTGCTCTATTTATTTTTTATTCCTTTTTTATTGTCTACTATCTCGACATTATAATAGAGAAACTTTACTTATAGATTACGTTTTTATTAAAAAGATAAATTTATTATATATTTTATCTAATTTATTTTAATGTTTCAAATATTTCTTAGACGTTTATAAAATATAATTTGGACAATAGACAATCTAATTAATCATTATCAATAATTACAATAATTTTCATACATATAATAATTATGTGATACATACATATTCAATAAAAATATACACATGGAATATTCCCGTTTTTATTTGTGTGTGTGTGCCTGTGCACGCGCGCAGGCGTATGTATATGGTAATGTGTGGTAAATTTAACCATGTTAGGTCTATCTTTATTTATGGTTTAGGTCACGTTTATGAAACATTAGATTATAACAAAAATAGTAATAATTTTTAGTAGCACAGTAGTAATAATTTAAATTTAAAAACTTTTAAAATAATATAAATGTTCTCTAAATTACTTTATAAAAATGTTGAATGACGATAAAAAATGTTCGCTCTAATATTATGTATTCTAATACATTCTAAAAGAGGTAACTATTAAAATACACATTTAGCTTTTACATATTATAATGGCTCAATACATAGGAATAAGTGTGATTGACTAGGGCAAGTATCAAGTCACATTTGAGTAATTTCAATAAGAATATTTAAATAAAGCAATATAAAATAAAGTAATAGAAGTATGTTCGAAAATATTGACTAAAAAAAATTATCAAAATATGTGTCGGCTTATTTTATGTTGGAAATACGTAAAAAAAATTTGAAACAAATAAAAAAATGTGATCCCATATTTTTACGAAATCCGTTCGATTTACAAAAGAATGCCTCATATGTGAAACAAGGATAGTTCGGAATCAGGTTCATCTCTATCACATTGAATCAGCAATCTAATTGTAGAAGTCTAGTTATAGAAGTCTGTGTAATTATAAATAAATATCTATAAATAGATATTTATTTATGGACATAGGAAAATCTCAGAATATCCAGTTATAAATACGATTGTACATCCAATAAATTAAGGAACAAGAAATGTCACGGCAAATAGAAAAGATTCGAAATGGTATTCATTTGTGACTTCAGAACAAAGGACTACTATGTAGGTTATTGTAATTTTTTAATTAGTGGCTGAAGAAAACTACAGTAGAGTCGAAACCAGTTCCACCTAAAATTTTATAATTCATAAAAATTAATATCTGCGGACATCTTGTTGCTCGGTTTTGGTCTGGTTTAAATAGAATTATTTTGTCGGGAAACTTTATATTTTATAAGTATGTTTTTATACTTGCCCCAACTTGCTTTAATTTATTTGGGAAATATGGAACAACATTTATGAAAATATTAATACATAAAATAGATTGCAAAAAAATCATCATTATTTCTCACACATATTAATAGTGCTAAATAATGAATTCATTCAAATTATTGATCTGAAAATATACATTAAAACAAATCAAATAATTTTATGTTGAAAACATGATACATTTGAATAAAATAATTTTTTTGTTTTGATATAATTTATAGACAATTTAAATTTCTTTCAGACCATACATCACATACTACATTTATACATTAATATTAATAATTACTATTTATACAAGAATTAAGTAAAGTAGTATATATATAAAAACTGACAATTATTTTAAATAAAATAATATTAAGAATCTAACAAAATTAGACAATAAGACGTACTTGAAGAACGTTTCTTTTTCCTTTTATTCCCTTTATATGAAAATATAAAATAAAAAAAAATTATTTTTTTATTAGCTCCAGTAAATCACATCTCATACTCATATACATTGGTAAAAGTTTCGTTTAAGGGAGGCAACCTCGATGACCATGACCTTGACATGTTGTCAAGGTCAAGACCCTGAGTGACCTTGATGAAGTTTTAGCCGTTACTGG